AGGAAGGGAGCCATCACCAGACTGAACGCTGCCAGAACCTTCATCTTGGACTTTCTGGGGTTCAGAACTCTGAGTGTGATATTGTGATTTATAAGAAAATATACAACTTCTGGACACAGTGACTTGCACCTGTAATCCCAGTTACTGGGAGGCTGAGGAGGGAGGATTGCTTGAGCCCAGGAGTTCCAGAATGTAGTGAGCTATGATCACACCATTGCCTTCCAGTCTGGGTGACAGAATGAGATCCCATCTGTAAACGACAGCAACAAAAATACAGTATGTATTTGGTTTTTGTCCTTGCTCCCTGACAAAAAACTCTTAAAAGTTTAAAAATTTCTAAATAAGTCAGACATGGTGGCTGAGCCCAATAGATCGAGGCCATGGTGACCACAACTGTGCCACTGCACTCCAGCCTGGGCAACATAGTGAGACTACGACTAAAAAAAAAAAAAAAAATCCTAAATAAGTATCTACATTTATGATGAGATGATTGGCACCTGTATAGCTTTAAGATAGGAGCTGGTTGCCAAGAGAACCAACCAAGTGGTTAGAGGAACTTTCATTCTCTGCAATCCCTGGAGAGGAAAAGGGAGTGATGGTTGAGTTGATCAGCAGTGGCTAATGATTTAATCTATCATGCCAATGGAATGAGACCTCTATAAAACCCCAAAAGAGGATGATTTGGAGAGCTTCTGGGTTTGGGGAACAAGAACACATCCACATACTGGACAGTGGCACACCCCAACTCCATAAAGACAAAATCTTGCACTAGGACCACTTGGAACCTCGCAATATGTATCTTTCCATGAGTGCCTTTTATTTATGCTTTATGATAAATGTGCAAACATAAGTGAAGTGTTTCCCTGAGTTCTGTGAGCTGTTCTACCAAATGATGGAAACTGAGGAGGGAGTCATTGGATTCTCAGCTGGTTGATCAAAAGCACAAATTATAATCTGCTTCTTGAGACTGACAGTCTTGTGGGACTGAGCCCTTAACATGTCGTGTCTACACTAATTCCAGACAGTTTCACAATTGAAATGGGTTGTAGGACACCTGGTTGGAATTAGCTGGTGTTAGAACTCCTCCACATTTGGTGGCAGAAATGTGAGTGTAAGTATGAAGGAGAACAGTCTGTTTTTTTTCTATTGGTAGAAATAAATTCTTGTTTTTTAAGCAACCTGTCTGAGGTATTTTGTTCTAACTGCCAGAGCAGACAATTACAATGGCCTACTCAATATCCTTCTTACTAACTATATCTTTTGGTAATATTTCATACCAGTAGCAAGAGATTAACCTCATTTTATAGGATATACAACCATATTTTAACCAGTTCTGAGAGTTATCATTGTTATTTTTACAAATTTATTACCTTAATTCTGAACTATATACCCTGAATGAAGGAGCACTGCCAAACCTATGTGTTTATCACTAGTGCATTGCTATTGAAAAGACAGTCCATGTCCTATCTGTCTTCCTAGGGCCTGATACTTGAGCTTTTTTGCACGTGTATGGGGTACTGGGAACTGTGGGTTGACAATAGCAAATCCTTCCAGCTGCACATGTGTGTCATTTAATCAAGGAATCCTGGGAAAGTAAAAGTTGTCACCACAAACTAGCACCTGGAATGGAAGAACATCTCTGATTTTCCAGATAGTGAGAATCTTGTAACATCTATGCTCTTCAATTCAGCATTATTAAGTTCAGTTTCCATCTTTAACACCAGAAAGGGTGAATTTAATACTTTTTAAGTATGTGATAGAAAAATGTGGACACTGGAAAGGATAACTAACCATTGATGTTCATATTTTTACGATTATACAACAATTAAAAGCTAAAGCAACCTCTGAGAGGAAATTATTTTATCTATATGGCCTTGTTTAGCCCACACAGCAGTCTATAAGGCAGGTATTATTATTATTATTATTATTATTATTTTTGAGTTGGAGTCTCACTCTGTCACCCAGACTGGAGTGCAGTGGCTGCTCCCGGCCACCGCAGCCTCGACCTGCTGGGCTCCAGCAATCCTTCCGCCTCAGCCTTCCAAGTAGCTGGAACTACAGGCACGCACTACCATGCCTGGCTCATTTTGATTTATTGTAGAGATGAGGTCTCACCAAGTTGTCCAGGCGGGTCTCAAACCCGTGGGCTCAAGCAATCCACTTACCTCAGCCTCCCAAAGGCACGGGATTACAGGCTGAGCCACCGAGCCCGGCTAAGGCAGGTATTCTTATTTCATTTCAGACATGAGTACCCAAGGAACAGAGTGAATGAATAGAATTAGCACCCAAACCAGGGTTTCTCCCTCTAAAGCCTGGGTGTTCCTCACTATTCTGGACTGCCCCCTTGAGGGAACAAAGATGCACAGTAGGTTGAAGGTGAGTCACATTGATTCCTGTTGTATGTACTTTCTCATTTCTAAGATGATCATCAACATTCAGATTGACCTACTGGGAGTATTAGGGTTTGTTTTCTAGATCATATATTGCTTTCTTAATAAAATATAAACATATGATATAGTAACATTCTAAGCACAGTGTTCTACACCATTATCTCTTTCCAACTAACAATGTATTTTGGACATATTTCTTGCCAGTAGCAAGAGTGTACCTCCTTCTGTTTTAATGACTGCCCTGTATTGGCATGCCTTGGAGATATTGTGGGTTTGGTTCTTGACCACTGCAATAAAATAACTCCCAAACACACATGCTTTTGGATTTTCAGTGCACATCAAAGTTATGTTTACACTACACTGTAGTCTGTGTAATAACACTATTACTGTGTAATAACATCATGTCTAAAATTATGTCTACATTTATTGAAAAATAAACATCATGTCTACATTTATTGAAAAACATGTTGTTGCTAAAAGATGCTAATAATCATCTGAGCCTTTAGCTAATCATAATCTTTTTGTTGGTGGAGGGTCTTGTCTTGGCGTTGACTACTGATGACTGATTAGAATGGTTGTTCCTGAAGGTTAGGTGGTTGTAGCAATTTCTTAAAATAAGATAACAATGAAGTTTGCCACATCGGTTGACTGTTTCTGTCATGAAATATCTCTCTATAACATGAGATGCTGTTTGATAGCATTTTACCGCCAGTAGAACTCCCTTCAAAATTGTTTTGTACTCATTCCCTGAAACCCCTTTACCTTAGGCAAAGAGGAAGATTCCAGTTGAGGCCTTGGCCTAAAGGAAGGAGAGAGGAAAAGTCTGTGCTGCTTTTGATACAAGAAGCTTCTTATTTTTACATTCCTCTATTTCCCACAAAGCTCAGAATAGGTGATCAGAAATAGTCTCTAGCCCGATTGTGACTAACGGAAAGAAGAAACACAAAAACAGATACACATAGTCTTCGAGGTGATTTTATGAAGAAGTTTATTGCAAGAATAACAAGGAGCTTTAGCCAGTGGGCGTGGGAGGCTGATGCTATGACAACAGATACTGATATATCTGTGTGGCTGATAGCATGGGACCACAGCTGTGACTGAGAAGCTTGGTGAATGTCAGGTAACAAAGCGCTGCCCCGGCAGCTTAGGTAAGTCGATCTAAGTGAACTGGAACCATTGCTGGATATTCAGCGTCCTGTGGAGCACTGTTGTTGCAGGCAATAATGTAGCGCTTTTGTGCTTGTGTCTGTCTATAGGTGCAGTTTCTATAATTGGTCGAGTGTCTTGTGATGTTACAGATGGTTAAAGGCACCTGCTCTGTACTTTCATGACAGTTCATGCGGCCATTATTACAGGTGATATTTTGAGTGTTACAAACACTAACCACAGAAGAGAAATTTGTGTGGAGAAAAGTATTCAGGTTTTTGCATCGTTTCTCATAACCATTAACTACCTGCATGGCATCGTCGCATCGGGAGTGGGTCATATTGACATGCTGGATATTAAACCACTGAGCCCAGGTTACATGACTGGGTTTGGCATGGGATGAGCCCACAATTCCCATGAGCCCCAGAAGCAGAAGCAGACAAAATCGGGAACTGAGCAGTTTTGGAGCCATATTTCCTGTGAGAAAAGAAGAGAAGTGACTGCTCCTGCATCCCATCTGAGTTATGACACACACTTTAGTGTCTCATCTCCAGTCTCCTCTGCTGTCCCTCTGGGGTCCCATTTCCTTTTCTGCCCTGTCTCCAAAGTGTACCAAGTCTCCTAGGAACTTACACCTGCTCATCCCTCCCTCAGTTGCCGCCTCATCACTGCCTTCCTGTCCCAGTTCTGGGGATAACTGACTTACCCAGTCTCTGTGCTGTGGCTTCTGTGAGAACTGATCCAGCAGGTCGTCCTGGGCTCAGAGGCAGCCTGTCCTCACCTGCTTGGAAGTGTAGATATACAGCAGCCTCAGTGGGTGGGGCTCAGAAGGGTCTAAGGGTTGGCTGTGTAGAAACCCAAAGATTGGCACATGGCCCGCTGGTGCAGTGAGCTTCTTTGTTTCATCACCTGGCTGACCAACAGATACCCAAGGACAGCACTGCGGCTGCTTCTGTAATAAAGAATATATTTCCAAGGCATCCTGTGCCAGGCAGAGGTTTTCCAGTTGGAATAGAATCAATTGATTAAAAAAGTGTACACTGACTCTAGAGGAATCATGCATTATGTAGCAGTTTGAAGCAAACCTTTCTGACAGTCGGTTTTCACAACAACATTGGAGAGAAGCACCAGAGTTCAGGGGACATGACAGAGCAGGGGCTGGTTGTAGCCTGTGTAAATAATGCACTCATGCATGGTATGGTTTATTTCTGAGGCAACAGCACTCGGGAACATGGTTTTATGAGAGCACAGGGGATGGAAGAGCTTACCTTGCCTGATGGGTCCAGAAAGCTTCCAGAAGGAGGCTCTATCTGAGCAGGGTCGTGAAGGATGAGCACAGTTTGCAGGAACATTTGGGAAGGAATGGACCTTCTGAGCAACAGACTGGCGTGGGAAAATGCACAGAGGTTGGCAGGATATCTCAGGTAAGAAGGTCATTTGTGAACAGATGTCAAATCACTGACTTCATTTCTAGGTGGGTAAAACTGTTATCAGAGGCTTAAACCAGCATCAAATCCAGTAAAACGGAAGTGAAATTAATCCACATGATTTGATAATATCTTTACTATGTTATACTATCATACAACATTCCTGTCACCTGGAAATGTAATAACTTTACCACTGAAGTTGTTAGGTAAATGTGGACACAATGGTGATCTGCTCAGGACTCAATCCAGAGCTAAGAGTTCTCTGCCTTGAAATCTTATTCTAGTTGATGATTATTGCTATCTTTTATCTTGAAGCAAGTGTCTTTCATGTATATTGTGTGAAAATGATTTTTATAGTTGACTAGGTTGAAAAGTTGAATGAAATATTGAGTGTCCCCTTTGTGGTGGGTAGTCCCAAGGGTAGAAAAACCTGTACTCAAGTGCCTACCATATGAGGCAAAAAACATATACTGCAGTCTCAGGCCATGAATGTGGCTCAACACCCATTTTTTCCCCCACTTATATAGAGACATGACATTATCGTAGTCTTCTGTTTGCTGATGATTTCTGTTGGACAACTGATAGTTCTGAGGACAGGCTTTGGTAATTCCCTACAGTAAAATTGGTTACGTTTTTGTTGGACAGTCTTGAAGTAATAATTCAAATTGAATACAACAGTACTTGTATTTCATATTACCTATATCCATAATACTTTAAGAATATTTTATTTTCAGGATCTATCAGTACAGAGTTACAGATTACACTTTCTGCAGTCTTCCAAACACCCACATACCACACACACACAATTTATATTCCTTCTTTAGGATCTCTGAAGAGCAAAGAGTCTGAACTGGAAAAAAGTTGGAAGTTCCTTTTTTTGTAAGCCTCTCCTTTTCCAGCTGACAAACAGAAAGATGAGGTGATCTGGCAAGCTTCCAGAAAAATTAATGATAGATTTAGAATTGAACACACATTTCTTCCCCTACAAGATGTTATAGGAACTATGTGGAAATAAGAAAACAAGATTGGTTGATGGATGTTATGGACTGAATTGTGTTCTCCCTGAATTTATATGTAAAGTCATAACCCTTGGTACCTCACAATGTAGTGACTCTCTCTCTCTCTCTCTCTCTCTCTCTCTCTCTCTATATATATATATATATATATA